CAGGACAAGCCATCATTTTAGGGCTCCTCGGTTGTATGACACACCCGTCCAGGTTTGTCTGTTTTTGCATGGAATCACCAAGTGGTTCCCCTTTGGTCCCTAACCAACTCCACTTTTTGCCATGGGATCTCACTTCCTTCAAGAGCTTCTCGATCTCTAGGGATCGCATGTACTGCGAGGCCGAGTTGGCCACCCAAGGTCGCCGCGACAAAGTGACGATGGCCACCTGACGTTCGAATCTTTGGATGTCAACCTCCAAAGGGATACTGTAAGCTACAAATACAAGAGAACTTAGCCCAAACAGACTAACACCCCCCTTGAAGGGGCATCAAAACACGGTTGTTAGACTCACGTCAGTGGATTGGCCAGAAAATCTCGAGACTTGTGTTGTCACTAAAACGGAGATTCCAACAAAGCATGAAGTCCAAATTTTAGGAACTCACGGACTGAATTTAAGGGAAGCAAACAGCAAGTTGCGTAAACAATCCTGGTTTACATCGGTATCTCCAAAATAGGTGACCCCAAAAATGGCATTTGCATTGCCTTTGGCGTCTTCCCCTGCCCCGAAACGTGTACCCTCCAAAGGGCACAGATCTTGCCGCGTCTTTTTTGGCATCCTCACCTGGCGGTGGGTCAAAACTAGGCACCCAAAATGGAACACTGTTAAATGGAACCAAGGACACAAATCTGCGGTCCCCTGGTGGCTTCATTTTGACCCATGCCCACCTGGCCGCAAGTCTTGGCCAAACGCAGCAGCTCTCGCACAGTGCCACTCAGCCTCTCCAAGGACGCATGGAACGCAGCGTCTGCTGGCAAGGTCTCCTTCAGGCTTGCTGACATAGGTGTCCTTTTAGGGGCAATAGATGTCCCTGGTAGATGATTAGCCCACCAGGTAAACCAGGAATCGCCATCTATTTTTCGGCCAAAACAACCAAAAAGGACACCTATGCTCTGTGCTGCGATAGGCAGGGAATGAGAAATGGAATGAACCTAGTCGCCACTGACATGTGTTTCGTGGTTAAACTGCGCTGTGGACGGACGAAATCCATTTCGCACCACTCTGAAACCAGGCGGTGCAGGAATGCGTCCATCAGTCCGTCCTGTGGTCATGCTTCCCTGACAGGAATCTTTATAAAGGTTACTAAGGATCCTTACCAGGTGGATGACAACATCCTTGATTACCCCAAGTACAGGAACCGGTCTCTTGACCATGTATCATACAGAAGCAAAGGCAAGGACCCGGCCAGGAAAGTTGGGCTGAAACCGCTTGAAAGCAAGAGAACAAATCCAATTTCGGTTGTGGAAAGCATGACCGAAATCTGTGACTTCACAGACGTCTGACTCTCTGGTTCTTCATGTTTAGCCCACCCTATATTAGAAAAAAACAAAGTTTGGAGGAGACCCCGGCTTTCAGGTTGCGACATGGGGTGACTGGACCTTAGGATCAAAGGAAGGCACACCTTGGCCCAGCCCTGCGGTACAGTACACCAAAAACGCGGATTTCTTATCACAACCCTTGAGAGTGTAGCAACAAGCATTGTTTTTGTTGCAGCCCCACAAAAATCAACAGAACCAACATTACAAAGAAAATCAATCGCCAACAGTGAGGATTCTGCTTCATATTGGGCACTCGATTCTATCACATGGAGTAACCCCCCAGGTTTGCCAATCAACTTTTGGGGCTCGCCTAGCACCAAACCCGATCTCCTTCAATGACTCCAGGACGTGCCAAGTGGGGAAGAGGGTGTCATCCCAGTCGAAAATGATGGCCGTCTCTTTGGGGGTGAACAGCCGCGCTCCGCTGTTTGCTTTTGCCACTGGCGTGCCCAAGGGCAGGCCCAGCATGTCCTAGGGTTGCCGGGCCTTTTCTTGGTGTAAGGACAGCCAAAAGGAAAACAACCATTTTGGGAGGTTTCTGAAAGAAAGGCACACCCATATTTAATGTTTGGGGGGTGGCTGACTTTCAGGAACAGAGTTAGAACATACTTTTCTGTTGTCACCAGACGGTTTTAGGACTTCTTGTGGGTTTGACAGAAGCCGCTTGATTCCAGCCAAGACGCTAAAAATCCAAAGATCAAACCCGACAGCAATCAAGATTTGGGAAGGAAAAACAAGCGGTTGCCCTGTTGGAGTTGGCCTGTTGCAATATTTCAGTAGTAACTCAGATGATGGCTGCCAAAGACACAAACACGAGAACAAACAACAAGCTAACCGTCCGGAATCTTGATTATGTCCACCAGTGGAAAGCCAAAAGGTTTAATAGATGGACGATTCTTGGAGAAACCCGGGTTGCTTTTTGCTCGCCTGCTAAAAGTGACTAACTTTTAGTGGTTTAATTCGGAAAACCCATTAGTTGGCAAAAAGTGATTCGGTCCTAACATCCCTTGGCAACATGCACCCAAGAAACCGTCTACAGGACCGGGCTGATGGCCAACAACTAATCCATATAGGGAGGCCACTAGAAAGGGGATCGGTTCCTTGCGCAACCTCTTAGGGATCAGGATGCGAATTAATGTTGGCCCATACTACTCAACCCACATGCTGTTTATCCAATTCCACTTGTCGAGTCTTCATTCAAGGAAGAGTGGAAGCGCAAATGGAGACCTGGGGTCGAACTCCCCCTACCCCCAATTCAATTGGCAAGGGGGCGGGGATGTAAACCATGCCCCGAGCGTGAAAAAAGATCGCCCTTTGGCCTTTGACTGTTTGGGATTCAATCCCCGCTTTCTCCATTCCGATCGAGCGGATTGCAGAAAAGTGCCCAAACTTTGTCAATTTTAGTAGGGAACCCCCCCCCAAAAAAAAGAAAATAAAAAAGACACGGTAAAAGGGCACTACTGGGGGACCTAGCCGGGCATGGAACAAACAAAAAACCAACGGGCGAGGGTCAAAGAGCTTGTTCGCCAGGGAGTAGAGCACCCCCTCCGCATCGGGAGGGCGCTCCGTGGACTCCGAGGTTTCTCGGTAGGGGCTCCCGAAATAGGAGGCGAAGGGCAAAGACACGCGCCGCTCGCCTGACGGCGCCCCTCTTTCCAAGAGTCATGCAAGTCTCTCACTGGCTGAGTGGATGGCCCAAAAAAAGTCCAATCTGTATAAATATAGTTACCACTAAAATGGTCTGCCCTCAAAGTTTAAAGTTCATGAACTTAGGAAGTGAGAATCATGCAACTGGGCTGCCCGTTTTCAGATCCCCCGCGAAAAGTGAATAACTTTTAGTGGCTTGACTGGAAACCCAACCACTAAACACGAAAAAGCTCAAAGGCTAAGGGGATGGCTGGGAGCCACCAAGGCAAGTGGACAGAAAGGTTCCCCAAAAGGAAACTAGCCTTCCACACCCCTGCTGTCAGCTTGATTGTTGGAAGGTGCCAGGCAGCACACATGCGTACGTCTACCCTCAGGCACATAAGAAAATCAGCGTCAGGCGGCTTTTGTGGGACATTTCGCATTTTGAACTCTCGCCGAATTCAATAGCTGAGCTTTGAGGCGACTGACTGCGCATAACAATCTTAACTTCGGCTGGATAAACCACGGTTGCGGTTGATTAATAAGGGGTGTCTTCTTTTAGTGGGATCATTCACTGTTGGTGCATGACACCCCCCAGTAGTTGGATGGGATGATTCATCCGGGGTTACTACGGTTTGGGAAGGAACTTCACAAGCAAGAACCACAGCCAAAGCGCTCGAACAGCCGCTCGCTCTCCCTGCGGTTCCCGTTATGCCAAGGAATGCGCCAAATACACGGCAGAGCGGAAGCAAGGAGCATGAAGCTTAAGAGCGGGAAAGATAATGGAGAAAAGAGCGGAGCGAAGAGCGAAGAGAAGGGTGGGCAGAGAGGAGAATGGAGCGCAAAGCCGGGGTTAGCTCAATAATTTACAGAGGGTTCAAAAGAAAATCCGGCCAATCTTCCCAGAAGCTCAGGAACCCACCAAAAAGATATCCACTGGTTGGATGGAACGTGGATGTCAGTGAGCTTGCAGTTCTTTTTTGAGAGGTGGAACACATTGGAATCCCCCTCTAAAGTGGTTGGCGGACATAAACCCCCACCGAAGTTCGACGTCCAAAGGGTCGCCTTTTTGAAACCCATATCAGCATCAGCCCATATCCGACTACCAAGCAACAAGGGATTTAGAGGGTAGAGTTCTCGGATTTCCTCAGGCCGACTCTTTCAGGTTCCCACCTGGAAATTCGAAAGAGGTCCGGTCTTCCTCATCCGAACTTTCATCCATCAGGCTGCTCCGGCGTCTTCCCTCCCGACGCTCGCCGCCGGGCGTGCCGGGCTTTACCGGCGGAGCCAAGTAGGGCAAACTCATGGCTCGCTCCCTCCGCCGGGCGCCGCCCGGCCGCCAAAGCGGAGATCTCTAGCCCGAATCGGCTGCGATTCGGTCTCATTGACACGTCCGGGCACGGCGCAGTACTGATTGACCTGCGCTCATGGTTTGTTTTACAAAGCTGGACAAGGAAAAAACGAAAGAAGCAAGACAAACAAACACGGCCAGCTTGTGAACCGCTACTCTTCTGCAAATCAACATGGAACCCAGAAAGCCATCAATCTTTAGGATTGGGTTCCATATTTCTTTGCAAGGCGCACAAAGTTGGCACTGGGCACGCATGAAGGCATCTGAACAACCACTTGTTTGCAACCTCATGAGGCTTGCGGGCACTTGCTCCGAAGCCTTTGGGACGCTAAAGGTCGCATCTTTGCGGGTGGCGGCTCTTCGGCTGCGAATTCGATTGCGACTCTGAGTTTAGCTCTGGCCAGCCAAAGTCGAGCAACCTATTATGAAAGGCACTAAAATGGCCATGAACTGAACTCAGCAAGTGAACATGAAATGCATCATGGGTACCCTCTTCGGGGTTGGTTGTAAAGGGAGACCAAGGGGGGGAAAAATCAGAAAAAAAAAGGCACGACCTCCATTTGTAGCTGCCCAACCAAAAACAGGACACACGCAAATGCCACGAGCTCACAAGCCCCACGAGATTCCACCCGCTCGAGGCCACCACGGGAGCAACACGCCGAGAGCAACACGCCGACAGACGTGGCATCCGCCTGGCGTCCGCTCCGCTTCCCCAAAAGAGTCGCCTCCCAAAGCTTCAGTGGTTCTAGGTTGTCAAGGGCTATATGGGTGTGGCTCAAAATGAAAGAGCGGTTGCGGGTTGTAAGGACGGGATTACGACCCAAACGGTTAGGACGGGATTGAGTCAGTGAGCCACAAATGGACAGGAGTCTCCGCATTTCCCCTTCAAAGGTTGGAGTTTCATGGTGGCCATTGAAACAACCACTGTTCTTGGTTGCTGCAGATCCCTCGGCAAAAAGCTTCACTTTTTGGGGGGGTTAGTGGAAACCCCTTGACTTCCCAAAAAGTTAAAGTCTAAAGATCCAACCAAATAGCAGTCAAGGGTTGGTAACCGGACCGTGGTTCTAGGTTGGCAAGGGTTATATACTAAGGGTTCTAGGTTACAGGTGGGTGGGTTGTCGCAGGTGGGGAAGCTGGGGCCTTGGTGACAACCTGCGTACCAACTTTCCAACCCTTGATATGGTAGCAAAAAACTGACGTTGTTTGGTTTTGGCAGCCCCACTAAAACTGATCACAGGACCAAAAACCAACAAACGACTAAACTTGCCAATAACTCTGAAGAAAGCATATCATGTCCGCTTCCATGATTGGAGGGATGATAGGATCTAAGTCTTTTTGGTCATCACAATGCATGGCAAGGATGCAAGATGGCCCCAAACGTTGCCTGATAGCGGAGCCCTGAAAATAGCTAGTTTCCGTTTACCCCCCCCCCCCAGCAGGGTACCAGTAATTACCATCAAAAAGAAAGACACTCTCACATCACAAATGTAGAAATGCATGACATGGGCATGAATTCGAATTGGGGGCCCTTTGGTGGAGATCAGAATTCGTGGCAACCACTTTAAAAAAGACGCTGGAAACCAAATTGGGAAATTGAGAGCTCGCCCCCGCCATGTCCCTTCCAAACGAACCCTGCAGGCCATCTTCAGCAACTCAATGTTCGAGTGTAGTTCAGGAAAGGTCCTGAAACAACATTCATGTTGACCCCAAATGAAGAAACTATCCTAGTCATAGCGAGGTGTTCCGTGTTCCCCTAAAGTGGAAACCTGCCAAAGGGACCCTTCTGAATCAACGAGGGGTTAATTCATCCGGGATTCCCATTAGGGGTTTTGTTTTGTCGAAGGGCTCAGATCACAGCTTTCTCGCTCGAACTTGATTTATAGCGACTCACCTGCTATACACGGATCTGTCCACGGCGGCTCTGGGAACAGCCTTACGAAACAGGGAGACTGTCAACTTCCGTGTTTGTTGGTGGATAGCCATGGGAACCTTGGCAACAAATGTGCGAAACTTGGGCACCCCGAAGAATCAAAATTTGTTTTTCGGCATTCTGAAATGAAGTCATTGGCCTTTGCAGTCGCAAGGTCAGCACGCCCTGAGAACCTGACTAATCCACTGAGAAAAGATGACATCATAAAAAAAAAAACAGAGGGTCAAACCACTGTTGGGTAAAATATGTTGCAAACAAATACGGCAACCCCGAAGCTGGCGCACTAGGCAAGTTACATGCTCCAAAGAATTGTGAATTGTTCCGACTCGGGTTCTCCGACATCCAAGTGGTCTTTGCTGCCATAACGGCCAGCCAAGTCCGGGAACCTCGAATGGCCATGGGTCAAAATCCAAATCGTACCCCATCCCAATCCCAACTAAAATAGACCAAAATGGGCGGTGAATTCACCTACCAACCAAAATGGGATCCCAAAACGGTTTTGACAACCACAGCCGAATGAGTCTTGGGAACGGCTCGGACCCTTAAGGTTCGATCTGCCTTCGCCAAGGCCAGTGGCGCTGAGCTTGAACCCTTGGGGCAGGCCATTCTTCGTGAAACCTCCTCAACACACAGGGCTGTGTATTTGTTTTTGAGGGTCTCCAAGTGGATTTCCTCTTAGGTTTCCCTGTGAAACCAACCAAAAAGCGGTGCCCTCAAAAGGAACCGCACCCAAAGGGAAGTTTTTCCGAATGTGACCGAATTACTGAAACGGATGAGAGTAACCTGTCCGACGCGGCCTCCAGGCTATATTCAGGCATCTTGCCGAAGAGGAAGAAGGCTTGTTGCCACTTTTGCGCTTCTTCGCACCTAAGCTCAAGTTTTCAAATGGGCAGGGCGGGGGGGGGGAGCTTCTTTTTTTCCGGGGAATTTGAGCCAACAACATATGTTGGCTTTCCTCTTCATGTTCCTTTCATCGCTTCCTGAGTGGACTTTCCCAAACAAGTACCCAAACTGCCTCTTTTCCAACCTAAAAATGCCGAAGCCCCAAAAGTGACCAAAGCCCAGGACCGCAGGAGTGAGTCTAAAACTACAAAGGAAGGTTAGCGCCAAAATGGAACTCTGAGGTGCAAGCTGCTGACATCTCTGCGGGCTGTAGCCTCTCCAATTCTAGCTTCTGATCGAGTGGATTGGCCCCAAAAAAGCCACCTGGAACTCACCCCACAGTTTTGGGGCAGTAAATTGCTAGGGTCCAGGAAACGTTTTATTCAACATTTGTCGAAGCCAAAAAAGTGACAAACGTACAGAAGCTCGGGGAGTGATTGCCTCAAGGAGCATGGGCCGCCAGGGGGCCCGCACAACTCACGCAACCCGTGGGAAGCATGGTTCACGTTCTTTTCTCGTGCCGACTTTATCACTGTTCAAGCAGGCCCCTTTGATATCGCAGAAAGTGGCATCCCAAACATCATCAACTTCCAACATTGATAGTTCCGCGATATCCCGCATGACATCTGATGGCACCAACCCGGAAAAAGCATGTACTGGGAGGGGTCTCACCAGGATTTGGGCCAACGGCTTGTCGAGAGTTGATATGTTTAAACCACTATTGTTTCGATGACCTATTTGCTGTTTCCCTGATCAGTGGTGGAATCCTCAAACCATTCGCTTCAGACTGGGCTGCTCCTTAGTCCTGATCCGCAACCGCAGTGCGACACCGCTACAACAAGAAGACCTGTCATCTGGTGCAAAGATCTTGCGGAAACATTTTTGGACAGCTCGGGGGGGCAATTTTGTCCCGGGCCTCGATGTTTTGCATGGGGCGGACAAAAATGGCATGGTCTTTGTTGCCTACAGGCCACCCAGCCACAAGGCGCCCGGATTGGGACGCACCCTTGGGGGGTTTTGGAACGGTCACAACTGCCAACGGATTTCCAGCCGGCCATCCTCCCGACCACGTTAAGCGGCGCACGCTGTCATCAAGGTGTTGAAGGTCGCTGTGCTGGCAGCAATTCGCCACTTCCGCATTTCCTGGCGCCGAAGAAGCCGACACATCCAGCTGGACATCCCTTTGCTGGTCAGACGTAGCCTTCTTCAAAGGATCCTTTTGAGGATTTTTGGCTGGCATCTCTTGTCTTTGCTCAGATTTGTCTTTCAAAAATATTTCAGGACTTTGGTTTGGTCAGCTGAGGGCTGGTCCTTTGCTTGGTGTCGCGGAATGAGGCCGTGGCTATCGAAAATCGCGCTTGCCATGTCCCCCCCCAAAAAAAGCTACACCCTAAGACAAAAGCCAAGAAGACTGCAGGTTTGTTTGTTCCTTGGTTTTAAGGGGAAGCCAACCAGAAAAAGACCAGGGGGGAGAGAGCGAGAGAGAGAAACAACAAAAAAGGACGCTGTTGGACAACTGGACAACTTCAAATTCCGGAGGGGGGGGGGCGAATGTCCCTGAGCTTCGGACTGGTCAGTGGGTGGGTTGCGAGAAACGGACCCGGCAAAGCCACAATTTGCACACGTGCTGGAAATCTTGGGGAGGCTTGGAAGTCTCAAGTAGGTCCTCCTCAAAGCACACTCCCTACGCCCAGCTGCCCAGTTACCCGCCCGGAAGCAAAAAGGCAGACTCCGCTGAACAACTGGTCTCGGCGCGTGGTCTGCGTGGGTGTGCCTGAAGAGCTCGATAGAGGATCCCCCCAAAAGGCGCGCTTCAAACCAGGATTTCCTCGCTGGTTCAAAAAGCTGGCAGGTCAGCAGGGAATGGAATGCAGCAGCGTGTTGGGAATGAAGCAGATAATTAATTCCCTTAAGGGAAACCTTAGGGAAAGGCGTATTCATGGGGGCTGGGGGCGTTTAAAACTCCATCCCCCCTCCCCTCATCTCCCCTCCCTCCCCCCCAGCCCCCATGATTTATAGGGGTGATTCCAACTCACTCCCTGCTGAGAACCAAGAAAGGCCCAGTTGCCTTCAGCAGGCCGAGCGCTTTTCGCCACTGCGCTGCGCCCAAAGCATCGGCGGTGATGTTGAAGCTGATGACCTGGGTGGGAGCCAAATGGATCAGGGTGTACCTGGCCATAGGGCAAAATCCAAATCCACAAAAGGGTTTCCTTTAAAACCACCCACAAAAGGTTCCCCCAAAAAAGGATACACTCATATGGCCATGGGTCAAAATAGGATCCCATTGGTCTTGACCCACAGCCACCTGGATACTCCCAAGGAGCGCTTTGGGGATGCAAATGCCTTGCAAGATTTCAACTACGATCCACCAAGGCGATAGGCCCAAACCTCACTCGTCCACCGGCTGTCAAGGAGCAATTTTCCACATGTCTGAAGAAAACAGAACAAATAAATGCTCATGCCTGTCAAAAAAACGCTTATTTAGACACAGAACGCTTATAGTCCAATCCTGCCTCTCCGTGATGGTTTTTCAGAAAATCGTTTCTAGTGGTTCCGCGATTTCCTCGTATTTCCCGTAGATGTCTGCGCATGTCCTGCAGATTTCCGCGCGTGTCCCGCAAATGTCCGCGTATTTCCCTCCGATGTCCCAGCAATATTCGCAATATTTTCTCACCACGGCTGGTCATGCAAAAACACAACGAGTTGCATTTCCGCGCATGCCCTCCACCAAAACAAGAAAATAAGCAACACAACTGCAATAAGGAAGAATCTCTTACCATGTGAGTTTCCAGACATGAAGGCAACCGAGAAGGAAACTCCCTCCGTGACTTGAAGACATGCAAGCACCAAATGGGAATGGACGGGTGCTTTTTCAGGGTACCCTTTTTGTGTCGCTTCAAGGGGAACCAACACGGAGAATGACAAGTTTTGAGATGCCCGATTTCGACACATACATGTACCCGGAACCCAAAAAGGGACTCGGGATACCACTCACCTGCACCAAGCAACTGGACAAAAAGTGGCCGACCTTTGGAAATCTAGGCAAAGCATGGGCCAAGTGAAATGCAAAAGACTACCCATCCACAAACATGGAGCCTGACTGAGGGCTCCCGGAAGACTATGTTCCTCTAGAACAGACCCCCCAGTGGTTTCCATGTTAGCGGGCCAGAGGGCAATTGAAAGGTGAGATACTTGCTGGCCCAAACCGCCCACCGCTGACAAAAAAGGCGAAGCAGCCCCCAGGCTGTGCCATTTCCGCCTTTCCTTCCGGCTGAAGGATCTCTAGTTGAGGACTTCTACGTGTTGCGAACCCGGTCCCTCAGGGTTTCTCAAACGGATGCCGAAAAGTAAACCCTGCACCCTCCGGCCAGCATGGCTTGGCGCGGGATCAGCCTGTTTGCGAAAACCAGATCCACTTTGGTTGGGGAAAAAGTGCAACTGTGCCCTTCCGTGTTTCGCGGAAACGTAACTCAAGCAGCTGAACCGGAACCTCCACACGCACGCACACTGGGCGTGTCTCTAAATGGGCTTGGTTTCTCGTTTGAACCATCTCCCTCCAAACTAAAAATGCGGCTCCAAACAGACACCTCCGCCCACCTGCTCTTGGGATTCGTTTTCGATATTGGCCATGCTTCTGGTGGAAGTGAGGCGAAAAGGGCTCCAAGGCCCTTGCGTCCCCACCCTGTTGGCCTTTGATTCGATCAACTTGGGGAAGAGGCAGCTGCCAAAGCTTGGAGCCCAAAACGTCAAACGCCACCACTTGCAAAGGAAACTCCTTTTGGGGGACCCCCCTTTTGGTTCCTTCCGTTTATTTGTAGGTGGATCCCCTCTTGGGTCCTTGGTGGGGGGGTGCCACAAAATGGCCCAGAAAGATTCAGGGGATGTTCATTTCGGGATATTTCGGGCATGTAGCTCCGAAAGGCCTAGGCCCAAGGCATCGGGCGATCCATGCGATCCACCTGACAACCGCTGGCCCAAGGCGAATCCTCCCCCCCCCCCCTTCCGGTGGCACGCCCGGCTGCAGAAACGCCAATGCAGCTCCAGCGTAATTCCCAAGTTGCCTAAAATTGAACCTTGGTTGCCGATGGAAGGGGAGCAAAAATATAAATTTTGGCTTGGTTCCGATGGAAGGGGAGCAAACATCTAATTGTTGGCAGTTAAGTGGGGGCTTCCCACAAAAACCACAATAAGCAAAAATGCAAAATGCTTCCCAACAACAACCATGGAACCTCCTTTGGACAAGTCAGTTGAGCTGCGAGGGGCCAAACTTCGCGCTCAGCCAGGGCCTCATGCCAACACGGAGATGTTTCAAAGCCTGATTCACAGTGGCAGGGCGTCTAAACCTATGCGTTTCACTAGCACGGCCCAGAGATTCCCAAACAAGAGCCGGACCCTTTGCTGGCGTGAGCAACAAAGCCACATGTCCGGCTAGCGATTGTGGCCATCGCCAACGACGCGCATTTAAGTGAAACCCTCCAAAATTACCCTCACCCCTCAGGGAAACCACTGCAACGGGGGAAGCCACCTGCCATGGCCAGAGAAAGAGGCATTCCAGCAATAGAGCAGCCAGAGGGTTGTTCAAAATGCACCTTCTGTGGATGGACGAAATCCTGCACTAATGGTTTGCCATGGTTTGAAAGTGGTGCGAACGGGTTTAGTGCAACAAGGGAAACCACGTAACCCATTAAGGTGAAGGGTTGGTTTTGAAGAACGCTAACATCACTGCCCGTGTTTTTTTTTTTTTTTTTTTTTTTTTTTTTTTTTTTTTTAATTTTAACCTACCCTTACCCTTTACCGGGAAACATAGGGAATGATTTTAGGGGATGGCCATTGGGAAGAATTGAGCGCCATAATCAATAACAGGGGGTCACTCGATGTCCACCCCAAAAGTTGCAATGTACAGGTTACAGTAAAAGGATCGCCACTTTTGGAGGTCCAAAAAGGGAAAATGGCTGGGACTTCTCTGCAAATTGTATTCTAAAATTGAAAAGCTGAATTCAGGGATCCCCAAGTAAAGAACCTCGGTATGCCCCCAAATCGGTGAGCTCGCTATAATTAGGCAGACCTTATGTCCAACAGTGGCAACCCACTGCTTCCTTAGGTCCCCGCTCTGCACCTCCGCCTGCGAATCAAATGGCCAGGGGGTCCACTGGATGGGGTAGGTTGAGGTTCCTCTGCTTCGCTTGTTCGTTTTTGTTGCTCTTATTTGGGAGGGAGGGGCCTTTTGTTTTTCCACACCCGGCAGGTTTGGGCTTGTTCGGTTTTAAATGACATCCGGCCTCCACAACCAGCCCCTCCCGCCGACTTAGGTGTCTGGACGTGAGGGGGGAGGGGGTGAACGGACGTGCGCCCCCCTTCCTCCCACAAACGTAGCACCTGCGGGAGGGCACCTGCAAGACCAGCCTGAGGTGCTATGGCAACGTGGGAGGGTAACCCAGGTTTGTTCGGCTAACCCGCCGTAGGCTCGAGCCGATTCGATGCTTGAAATGGGAAGCCACTAGGCTTAAGACATCAAGAGCCGGGTCCCTGCGCACGGCGCGTACGTTGCATTCTTCCAGGGCATGCAAGGGTCAATGTTCTTTTTGCGGGTTGGCCTAACTGACCCCCCCACAAAGTGGTTGCGAGTCGGTAACTTCCATCTTCGACAAGGTCACACCTGGAGGAACAGAAATGTTGACGTCAGAAATTATATTATTCACCGCCCTGGATTCCCCAACAAAGCAAACTGCATCATGGCTCATGGTCAATTACGCCGCAAAAACCGAAAGCGCTAAGTCATTGCACCCCCCCAAGTAGACCTGAGACGGTTATCAGGTTTGGCCCGATGTCTCGCTCCGCTAGACTTTTGAACGTCTTGCTTCAAGTCTTCCCAATGCTTCCCCGAATCTCGGGGCTCCTGCTATCTTCCCCAACTCATCTCGAAAAGGCGACCAGCAATGTTTGATCACCTAAAGCTGGAAAGTATCATGAAGGGCATGTTTTAGGTATGGGTCTTGGAGGTATGGAGGCCTTATATAAGAAGGACGTACTGGCCTACAAGCTTGTTTTGGTGGTATGAAAGCATCCATACTTGCACAAACACTAACTGTTAAAATGCCCTTGATATGAGGACTCCCGAGCACAAAGGGCACATCGCAGGTTGGCCCGATCAAGGCTTCTCCCCACCGCTTTTCTGGTAAAACACGGCTCAAGGACGAGCGATCACTGCATTTTCACCGAAATCAAGGTGGACCCCTTTTGGTAGAAGTCTTCTGTTTCGGGTGTGGGTACTTTTTGTTTTTGCCGGAAAGGTCCAGTCACAGTCGGAGCGGGGGGGGGGGGTCCAAATAGTTGCAACTCCAAGCGGTGGCAACCTATCCTTTTGGTTTCCATTCAAACCCAGGTGATAGACAAATTCATCGCCTAATTTGCGTCTGCCTAGGCAATCAGCCGATCGAAAGCCAAGCTGAACAGCGTAATTACTCCCAAAAACAAGCAGCAAACAAATGAAACCACACGCACACACACACAAACAAACACAAACACAAACACAAACAAAAACACAAACACAAACACACAAACACACAAACACACACACAAACACAAACACAAACACAAACACAAACACACACACACACACAAACACAA